CCCCCGTCATGTTACCCACTTTTGTTACCAATGGAAAAATATGTGAACATATTTACCTGGAGCGTCACTCTTCACTATAACTGCACGGACATTCTTATCATGCTTTACACATGCCAATGCATCAAGAAACTACGAAAAAAGTGTATATTTAAAATATATATATAGGGATTGGCTTATGAATTTCCAGAGAGGACGCATACGTTAAAGCAATGTTTAGGCAAGATAAATAAAGTTTGCTGAAGGTCAACTAAAGTATCTTATTCTCAAGCAAATCATGACATGTGGTCTGAAGGAGGAAATCCTTTATCTTTATCTATGTAAATGGACTAAAATGTTTTATTTGCATGATTTAATATGCCAACGATTTATAAACGAATTTAAAACACCTACCAGACCTAGAAACTTCTTACTCATAGCATTCTTAGCTTCTGGTCTATTGAACACAAACAGAGCAATACCTGTAGATAAAAGAAGAAGAAAATTGTACGTAACAAATTCTTCGTTTGCAATAGATGTCATAGCCGCCGTGTTGGAAGAATTTGACAAAAGATTTTTCAACGAATTCTTTTGCTATATCTTCCAACGTGGCGGACAACCCTTTTGTTATTGTTCTCTCTTGGGATTGATTGCAAACCAAGAAATATAAGGAACAGTAACAATAAAAAACACATGTACAATTGTAGTGCTATTTGTTTACCTTCTTGCAGGCCATCAAGATATTCTAGTCGAAATTCTTCTCTTTCTACTTCAACACCACTACCTGTACTATAAAATCTTTGAATTCCTAAACAATTTCTTGGGCTTATTAGTTTATATTTTGAAGGGAAACCATTAAATAAATTCTTTGCACTTCTTGCTACTGCAGCCGCCATTTTGAATATGTAAATTAGGTACACTAAGTTGATTTTCATTGGTGGAGAGGTGGCTGTGTTGTCCAATCAGAGAGCAGTACTTTGATCTTGTGCCCGCAAATTTAGAATTGATGAAAGCGGTTTCACTCTAAAATTTCCAAAATGGCGGTGGATCCTTGTTCTTTTTCCAGCCCAAACGAGTGCATTTGTACCAAAATATCTTGGTTTGTGAACGTGGATTTCGAGACACATATTCTTGATTGTAATGTGGACTTGCAGTTCAGCGTAAAGAAGGACGGAATCACTAGATTGGTAGGTTAGGGAATCTGAGTTTCGGACGTACCGTTTTCTACTCAGGCTCAAACCGTCTTGAGAATCATGGTAATCATCCTAAATGAAAAAGCAATACAAAAAAATAATTCTCAAGATTGCTTAACTGAGAAATGAGACCCGATAAACAACATTGATTTTTAACAGAGGGACCTAAAAAGTACCGGGGATGCTAGTCGGAAATTTTCAAAAAGACCCGCAAAAGATACCGGAAGTCTTTAAAAAAGGGCGTGGCTGAATGATTTCTAACCCCTAAGAGATACCATAACCCCTAAGTTTCCTCGAGTAGTAATTATTCTTCTTATAAGGATAAGCCATATCGATGCGCACTTCTCTCCTTTTCCGACCCTAAGAGATACCAGAAAATGCTGATTTTCCTCCTTCCCATCCCAACTGAGCCACCCCCTCATACTTGCAGCTGTTGAATTTATTCATCTCCCTTGCTCTTCATCAAGTAAGCGACAAACAACTTTGTTTGGGTTTGTTTTACTGGCGTTTGCATTACTATGCGGCCACCCCAGACAAAAATCGCGACATGCACTTTGCAATAGACTACCGTCAATCAATAAGTTGACGTCATTTTGACGACATTTGGATCGGCCCAAATAGGCCCGGTGAGTGTGGCTCATAATACTTGTAAACGGTCAACAAGTTTTGGAGCCTTTTGAATCACACACGCGTGTAAATGACGTCGCCGTGTTTGATTGACGGCAGTCTATTGCAAAGTGCACGTTGAGATTTTTGTCTGGGGTGGCCACATAGCAATGCAAATGGTGGTAAAGATTTAACAGCTACAAGTGAGTGATAAATTATTTGAATGTCAAGTTAACCTTTGTAATTGGTAGATATTTCAAATTCTTGAAAAAACTTGACTTGATGTTGTTTTGTTTTTTAAGACACTTGACACCAGTGATTTAAACATTAAGTCTGTGCATAACCAGGCCACTAAAGAAAAACTGTCATTTAAGTTGGGAGAGAAGCACAAAGCATTTGGGACTCCCCTGCACATCGACTTACCTGATGGACTTAAAAGGTAGAGTACTGTAGGTTAAATAAGCCTGGTTTCTATTTATCAGTGACATGTCTGCAACGCCTCTGCAGGTACCACCTGGGATGCCATTCCAATGATGGAAACACCTTGTCGCCAGTATCACAGACTGTCCAGTTTTTTTTTAGGTTTTTAGAAAAAAGTTGAGTTGATTGTATGTGACTTGCCTTCAACATAAAATGAATATTGGGAACACAGTCAGTGGTCTAACTGCAATTGTCAACAGCTAGCCATTACCTATGATGTAAAATGAATGTGGATAAAGAACATAATTGGTTGTCTACCTGCAATATTTTCAGCCACTATAATTGTGCAACAATATTGTAATTTTGAGCACTTTTTCTACCATGCCACTATTACATTTTTATATGATTGAATTGAGGTCCCTCGTACTGTAGTACCTTTAGTGGAATTGCAGACATGTCGCCAACAATTATTCCACCTAAAGTTGCATTAATAATATTTTCCCATTTCAGATCATGTGTCATATCTTGAGAATAAGATTCTTTGTTTGAGTTGTATCCATATTCATGTGTCTTATACACATTAACCATTAAAAAAAGAAATGATACTCTAGGGATTGACACATGGTCTGTAACAGGAAAATAGTGAATTAGGTCCATCGTTGTCTTGCATAAAACAAGACCTAACTCATTATCTTAAGGGCTTTATAATTACATGTTATTCTCCTTGTTTCAGTGGTTCAACAGTTACCCTGAGTATTAGTTACCAGACCTCATCTACAGCCTCTGCCATTCAGTGGCTTAAACCAGAGCAAACATCAGGGAAAAAACATCCATATCTCTTCACTCAGTGTCAGGTAACAAAAGTTTTTATCTAAGAACTCCATTGTTAGATTGGTGAAAAGTGTATAGAGTTGAACTCTAGAGTCTGTGGTAGACCTGTGTTTTTTTCTGTGTCTTATAATATGAAACAGGAAAAGCTTAACTTAATGTGGTTATTAATGTTTTATAGGCAATCCATGCACGCAGTATCATTCCTTGCCAGGATAGCCCTGGTGTTAAAGCAAAGTATGAGGCCGAGGTATGTTACAAACAGATTGTTACGAGTCATGTATATAGAGGTTATCAATCGGCTAAGCATCTGATACGACTATGTATTTTTACGAGTCATGGAGTATTTTGGCAAACCTTTAGGTGAACGAAAATACAAGTGATGGGTAAAAATGCACAGCTGTATCAGATGCATGGCCGACTGATAAGTTGTTTATCATTTAATTCTGCAAAGAAATGCTCAAACCCTCCTTTTAAACTCTATTGTACCTGATCATGAGCAGATGAGCAGTGCTGATACGGCCTCATATCAAGCATGGTCTTTTCCTGTATCACGCACGTTCTTTGCAGAATAAAATGATAAAAGGGTTTAATGATACTATCTTTAGTACTCAGCACCACTTCCATCCATTGTAATCAACCCACACTGTATGGTAAGATGTTGGCCTGAGGGTGGGGGTACTCTTGCAACCACTTGCTGACATATCTTACCTATACATGTTATTGACCACTTTTACTGGCAGACAACTTACCTTTATGGGAAACTGGCAATAGAGTTCACTTCATGGTCTTCCTTTTCAAATTTGAGCTAGTCTGTGTAGCAGTGTTTTGAAGAGGGGAGGGGAGAGGGGCCTGGAAAGAGGAACTTTGAACTTTCAATTTATCTCAATATTGTATAATTATTATTTGAAGAATTGAAGATTAAAGTATGTTACCAACACATGTGAGGATTAATCACAATATCCCAGCACCACACTGTGCATGTGGGTACTGCTGGTGATCAATTCACTTGTGTCAATAAAGAAATACAGAAAATGCCTGCAGAAATATTTTATTCTTTGATTCAAATTTTCCTTGACATGAACTCTTAATATAACTTTACAGTGTAATGGACAAAAGTATGACCACTTGTAATGTATTCACATACTTCTATGCACAGCTTTTTCTTGCCAAACGAGCGTTTGCACACCTTATTTGGTAAAACCAGCCAGCTTTGCATCGAAATGTGTCAGTTTAACGTACAGAACTTGTGCATATGAAGTATGCGAATACTTTAACAACAAAATTTTTGCATGTTGCGCTTTAAAATCTCTTTTGCATTGTCTTTGTTGTTGTTACTTGTAAATAAAGACATTACAAATGCAATTAATGTGACACCATCGTGTATAGGTATCAGTGCCCAAAGGATTGGTTGCCTTAATGAGTGCAGCAACGAATGGTGAAGCCAGTGACTCTAACGATGTCAATAGATCTGTCTTCAAGTTTAAACAAGAGGTACGATAATAGTATACAATCAGTTACCGCCATCCGGTTAGCTCAGTTGGTAAGGTCTGTTGTGCGGAAGGTCGTGGTTCAAGCCTCGGCCGGACCAACACTCAGGGTCTTAAAATAACTGAGGAGAAAATGCTGCCTTTGTAATAATATCTGCAAATGGTTAGACCTTCAAGTCTTCTCGGACAAGGACTTTAAACCGTAGGCCCCGTCTGTCTTCACTATATAACCCTGTATAAGGCAGACGTAAAAGAACCACTGAAGACGCTGGTGACGATGTCTTCAGTGCACGTGCTAAAAACTCTACAGGGCCCACTGTAAATATGTTGCGGTCTCCCTGCCCTCATGGGAAAAGCTCATAAATAAAAAATAAGATACGCAGTCAATACAAAAATAATAAACCACTCAGTGATGATGATGAAAATTCTTTTAGCAGCACTAATAAAATATATCATTAAATCCAAGTTGTAAGCCCACTCCTGGGGACACCACATTTATACAGTAAGCAGACTAGTCCACTAAAGCCAATACCCTTGCATTTATGAGCCCCGGCACAAGTTGAAAGCCCATATAAAAGTCCATACAAATGAGTATAAGCCGAGGGCCCATACAGGGTGCTGAAGGATCTTTGCGGGAACCGGGAAACGCATAAAATATAGCGCGGGATTCGGGAAACTAGAAAAAAAATCTTACGTGATTCTGGATATCGTGGTATCGTGACTCGAGGATTGCCGAATTCAATTTCCGGAATGCGGGATTTTGCTTTCTGATTTTCGGGGAAAACGTGAAAACACTAATAAATAAAACGAAAAGTCAACGGCTTTGAATATTTTGAATTTGGGTCGTCGCTTACAATTTTCGCGGGACGCGGGATTTCGACAAAAGAGTAATGCGTGGTTCGGGATCCGGACCCCCCTTCAATCCAGACCCAGCTCATAGTCAGGATTTTCGGTAAAATCACAACAAATCATCGATTTTGTAATTATCTATTAACCACTTTTCTAATTTAAGTTTACTTTAACTTATACTTAGGTTGCTATCCCAAGTTATTTGATAGCCATGGTCGTGGGTGCCTTGGAGAGCAGGTATAATAATAATAATGATAATGATGATAATAATAATAATGATAATAACAATAATAGGAGGTTCTTGTATAGCGCATTTATACAACGTCTCAATACGCTTTACATTAATGACCAGTGGATGACTTTACGGGCTGCATATTAAGGCGCTAGTAGCAGCCGTGCAGCTTACAATCATGAGTGATTTGTTAGTGCATTAGTGTTATGCCTCCAGACAGGGATAGGCAGGACCTAGTTTGGCCTTTACAGTAAGTCAGACAAGTAGTGAATCGGATACGCCTCTCTTTCAATGAGTTTCGGGCTCTTGGAAAGGCATTTTTTGCCATAGAAAACCCAGTTAGGGATTCGTTGGATGTTTATTATAATCATTGAAGAAATAGAAAATGAGCGCGGTGCTGTGTATAAAGCACGCGGGGATTGGCGGAATACGAGATAAGTGTTAGGAGAAGTTCGACGCATGCTTTATAACTACACACAGCACACCAAGCAAGTTTTTTATTTCTTTTATAAGATACAAATTAGAGTAACCGTTATTTTGGATACGAATGATAAAATTGAAAGAGCTCGCGCGTGGTGTGTGCTCTCATAAAGCATACGCTCCCATCCAATCAGAACGCGAGAATCATAACAGGTATTTCATAATAGAGATCTTTATAGAACAACGTTCTTGCTAGCCCCGCAAATCTCAAATTGCAATTCGACGTCAGGCGTTTTCCATCAAACGTTCGACATTTAGCATTGCGTCATAACGAAGTTGTTGCTGGTAGAGCCGCCATATTGAATTTCCTCAATGCCGAGTGTTTCTCTGTGTTTGCGGGCGTGTTTCTAGGCCTGATTCCTAGCGGTTAGTGCTAAACGTCACTATGAGTTCAGTTTTGATGAATCTGTGGGGAAACGATATTCAAATTCATTATAGCCCATCGTATTCTCTCCTTTGCCGCTCTGCTTTTGTTTTTGGGCTTCCTGTGTCGCAGCGTCTGGACTAAGCCCATCGTATGCTTATTTTGTGCTATTTTCTTAGACAAGTTGGTCCAAGGTCACGTGTGTGGTCAGAAAAAGAGATGGTTGAAGAATGTGCTTTGGAATTTGCTGAGGTAATTGGTAAACTTTATCGAGTTCACTGCATTTTCTATCCCGAACCTTCATTTTGGCAGAAATGTAGACAATGTTGCGTTCTCTTCAAATTTGAACATTTCAAAACTGAATAGCAAAATTGGAATTTGATGACGTCACACTCCGGTACTCTAGCTTAGGACAAACTCTACCTTACCATGCATAGATTAGAAGAAAGGAAAACAGTTGCACTAGATGGCTCTGAAAATAGTCATCTACGTAGCCGCTATTAGTATCGTCGCACAACGAATAGCGGCTGCGAAGGACACTACTCAGAAAACAACCCAAGAGGGTAGCATGGTTGGCGTTCGCGGCTAACGCGTCGTCTTTCACCGCTGTGAGTCCAACGGGTCGGGTCGCTGGTTCGAGCCCTGCGGTCGTCACATGTGAATTGAGTTTGTTTGATGTGTTGTTCTCTCCTATGCTACGAAGGTTTTCTCCGGTTTCCACCCTCCGTAAAAATCAACATGTGAGATGAGCGTTGTGTGCATAGAATATTGAATGAAGTGGTAGTGCGTGTGAGTGAAAAGTGTACCCAATTAATGCCAAAGCGTTAGAACGACTATACTTTTAAATAAAGATATTTATTTCATTTTTATTTATTTTTTATCATGACATGAAGGGAATGCAAACTGCCAAGGATTCTTGCTTCTTCCATCGCGCAACGTTAAAGGATCTCACCGTATGCATTGATATTTCCTATAGGTTGAGACCATGATCAGCACGGCAGAATCTTTAGTAGGTGAATATGTTTGGGGTCAGTACGATCTTCTTATCCTTCCACCTTCTTTTCCATATGGAGGAATGGAAAACCCGTGCTTGACTTTTGTCACACCGACTCTTCTGGTAAGTATACGAAGGTCGCGTTTCAAAATGACACCTTTTTTTTAAAAAAAACGTCGGTCGGCGGAGATCTGAAAACGGAAATCTGAGACCGAGTAGCACTGCAGATAGATATATTTAGCAATTATTCGCCGAAGGCGAAGTGAATATCGTACAATATTCACCTCCAATTAACCAATGAGCGCGCGCGTTCTTAGGAAGTACACAAGTTGGTATATGCTAAAGATAGATATGTTTATTAAGAAATAACACCTTGCAGCTAAAAAGCTGAATTGCGTGTACTATATATGAAAATACAAGCTATAATACGAATATCTATAGATATATGCATGTATAAAATGGAGTCATAAAAGTTGTATATTAAGACTTGTTTAAAGGAATGTCAATAGATAAGGAACGAAAGTGTTTTTAAATCTACAAGTCTTTATTTTTTGGAGAGCAAAGTCACTAGGCCTTCGTAGATTATAGCGTGGAAAGTATCTGCAAAACGTAATGTATTCTCAGCCGATCAACGTAGTTTTTAGTTTTCTTATTTGATTGTAATATGAAGCATGGTATTTGAGTTAGAAACGTGATTTTTCCTATATTAGCCAGAAAACCGATAAAAGTGCAAAAATTCCGTATAGTCTCAGATTGCCCATTTCATAACTCTGACCAACAACGTTTTTTTGAAATAGGTTTATACAGCTATTTCACAAAAGGTCGGAGAAGGTTTTGCTGTGTTGTATTTTGCTTGACGTATGTTGTTTACCAAGCTTGAATAGTATTATATTCATCTGTATAAGTAATGTCAACACACAACAAAGTATATCAGAAAAACGTACAGGCAAAGTTTGATAACATTTTATATCGCTGTGACCCTTCGATGATGGTATTCACATTGTCTATAGTGCAATTCGGGCTTAGTAGCCAACATGCCACAAATCTTTGACAGCCTTTTTGAAGTAGCTGTATATAGGCTTTGCACCATCACGTGTCGGCGCCTATAATACAGTTTGGACTGCCTGTGGTTAGATGGCAGAACAATAAAAACCCTTTGCTCTTGGGAATTGAATTCTTTATTATGTAAAACGATTGTATTGTTGCTGCCATCTAACATGGCTGCCGTCACGTGATTTTGCAAAACCCTTATACTCCAACACTAGTCTTTCTGGTAATTCTACCATGCAAAAGTCGCATTCAATAGTATTCTAGTATTCTATTATTCAAAATGACTTCATGCAGTGTAATCATTTGAATGACCACCTTTCTTTTTGGTTCAACAAATGTACAGGCCGGGGATCGCTCACTAACAGGGGTAAGTTGAACGTCTCAGTCAAGATTGATAAAATATGATCGTTGTCGTTGCAGCTGCTGCTGTTGTTGCTGCTGCTGTTGTTGCTGCTGTTGTTGTTGCTGCTACTGTTGTTGTTGCTGTTGTTGCTACTGCTGTTGTTGCTGCTGCTG